CCTCGCTCTCCCTCTCCTCTCCTCTCCCTCCCCCTGCCCCTCCGCTCCGCCTCGCCTCCCCTCCCCTCCCCTCTCCTCTCTTCCCTCCCTCTCCTCTCTCAACGCCTCTCAGCCCTCCCACTCTCCTCGCTCCTCTCTCGCTTCCTCCCCTGCTCTCTCTCCTCTCTCACTCTCTCCCCTCTCCCGCTGCTCCTCTTCTCTCCCTCTCTCCCTCTCCCTCCCCTCGCCCGTCCATCCTCTCCTCTCCTTTTCTCCTCTCCTCTCCTCTCCTCTCCTCTCCTCTCCTCTCCTACTCCTCCCCTCTCCCCTCCTCCTCTCCTCGCTCCTCAACCTCTTTCCTCTTTCCTCTCTCCTCTCCTCTCATCTCTCTCCTCTCTCCCCTCTCAACTAACGAGTCTAAGGAGTCGCCTACGCCTACTCCCTAACCCTAACCTTAACCCTAACCCTAACCATATCAAATAGTTACCAGGGTACGTTCCGGCAGTACCCCGGGGGACATAGACCCTATGAGCATTGCTACGGGGTATCTGATTCCAAGCACGTGAACTCTAGCTGCGAGGGGCCTATTACTAGTATTAGTATTACTGAATTAGTACTACAGTACAGTGCAGTGCAGTGCAGTGCAGTGCAGTGCAGTGCAGTGCAGTGCAGTGCAGTGCAGTGCAGTGCAGTGCAGTGCAGTGCAGTGCAGTGCAGTGCAGTGCAGTACAGTACAGTACAGTACAGTACAGTGCAGTAGAGTACACTACACATTCTGTCTAAAATACAGCAAAAATGAATTGTGGTCAGCGCTCATACTATTACTGACTGTCATTAAATTAGCCTACTGACGCTCATAGGGTCTATGTCCCCCAGGGTACTGCCGGAACGTACCCTGGGTACGCCGTACGGTCCGGTATACCGGAACGTACCTGGTCACTATTTGATATGGTTAGGGTTAGGATTAGGGTTCGGGTTCGGGTTCGGCTTAGGGAGTAGGCGTAGGCGACTCCCTAGACTCGTTAGTGGAGTAGGCGAGGTACGGTTCGGCATATTAGATAGTACCAGAGTACGTTCCGGTATACCGGACCGTACCCAGGGTACGTTCCGGCAGTACCACGGGGGAAATAGATCCTCTCAGCCCTACTGACAATGACATGTCATGTCTCATGAGTCACATATTCACCATGAACCATAAATAATAACATTTAAATATGACAAACACGTATTCCGTCATACTATCATCATATACTACTATAATACAACTATCCGTAGTACTAGTTTAATATAGTTAGCTTACCGAGCGCGTTGATCACATAAAGTGTGCTGTAGCAACAGTAGCATACGTCACGTACGCCTAATCCATGCCAAGGAGCCATGCCACCGTGCGGTCGCGAATCCGAAATAAACATTTATGCTACGTCTTTCCTTTTTAATTAAATTTGTTGACCAAATACAGTTTGTTGCATAAATTTAGTTTATATTAATAAAGTAAGTGTAGAGGAGTTTGAATAATTTGTACATATGCATGATGACGAGAACGACAAGGGTTTGAAGTAATTTCAGCTATCGTCAATGTAAGCAATGATGTCGTCTAATGTTATTGTTCAGACAAATCGCAGCCGTAGGCCACCAAAATAAGAGATTTTTGTACGTCAAAATGCAGAAAACTGTAAATTGATAAACCCATCTAATATGTAGATAGTAACTAAAAATTCTTCTTCTAAAGAAAATACAGCCTGTAAGCCATAAAAGTGAACGAAGTGGCGCATTGAACCGCCATTTTTAGCGCAAAATAGCAGCCTTCATGCAAGCCTATTTTCGCATGCCATCCAGCGCGTTGAAAACTTTTCGCACGCAGTCGGCGGTGTTGAAAATTAATTTTTTCACAACGGCAAATAGCGTTGCTATATTGCCATCTTTTCACGCTGTCGCGTGTGAAAAGATACGAAATCGGGTGCATGTCCGGCCCCCTCTAAAAATTCGTAGGGGGGGACATGTCGCCCCCCCACGCTGGTTTGCGCCCCTGGTACCAGGGTACGTTCCAGCAGTACCCAGGGATCTATAGACCCTATCAGCTCGAGTTAGTGTTTATGTATTGTTTAGTACTTTATATATATCCTTTACGGACGTCCGTGGTAAAATTATATACGAAGCAGATCGTGATTCACAGCCGAACTAACATAGATCAGGCCGTAGCCAGGGGGGTTCGGGGGTTCGAACGAACCCGCCCCCGAGCCCCCTCCTCCCAGCCAAAAAATTTTTTTTTGGAAAATTTGCAAGAATTTCACCTCAAGGTCGCTCCATTTAAGTGTAATAATTGCAAAATCTCCATCGTGCGGGAGGGTGAACAGTGAACACCCCCCTCCCACACCCTCCCCCCGCTCGTCCGCTTGCTCCCTCGCCGGTCGCTTGCGCGCCCGAGCAGGGGCGTGTACAGGGGGGGTCCAGGGAGTCCGGACCCCCCCTTGCTCGCGCAGAAAACGCATCTGAGGGGGGTAATTTTAAAAATTTCGGGGGAGGCCCCCCAGACCCCCCCTTCGCGTGCTCGCAACTATGGTTACGGTTAGACCCCCTCGTCACAAATCCTGTACACGCCGCACGCAGAAAACGCATCTGAGGGGGTCTAATTTCAAAATTTTCCTTTCCCCAGATCCCCCCTTCGCGTGCTCGCTACTGGTATCCCCCCAGCTAGCATGTTAAAACAACTGTAAAACCTGTTTCAACAACGTTATTATGGCTGCATCCATAGCTGCATCTAACGCTGATAGGCTCTATGTCCACCAGGGTACTGCCGGAACGTACACTGGGTACGATCCGGTATACCGGAACGTACCCTGGTACTAAATACTACTATCTAGGTCGCCTACGCCTACTCCCTAACTCTAACCCTAACCCTAACCATATCAGCTAGATAGTTACCAGGGTACGTTTCGGCAGTACCCTGGGAGACATAGACCCTATGAGCGCATCTAACAATGTAAACATGTAACGATGTCACAATGTAACAATTTAAGACTGCAACAGAGTAATATTTTGTAATTCGTAAACGTAATGTCGTCATATTTTGCCAAATATAGCATACAATATTGTTCCGTTGTAATTACTGCCTTGCCTTTTTAAAGAGCTTCTTCTACAAACATTGTGTGGCATAACAATATACAACATAACGAGCGAGGTGGAAACGTAATAAATTCAACATAATTAATCAATGCGTATATACATTTCTTTTATTTAAATTATAACAGTTCTACTATATAACAAACAAGATAACAACTTTTACAAATAACAATGTTCATCACACATCCAAATTCCTTAGTGCATCCTACACGCGACTGCATTTTCAGGGAATCTTAATTACGCTACAATAAAAGTTGCAAGGGTCAGGAACATTGGAAACGCCAAACAAACTTCGGGAGTACTTGAATTGTCCATGCATTACTGCTGTTTGAGAACAGTAGATAATAGCAGACTTTATAGGGATTAAAACTTTTAGTAACACAGTGTTCATATATATGTCAGTGAAAGCTAGATGTACTGTGAAGGCACACATCATCATTAATACTCACTATACCAAGTGTATCCGTGGATCCATCTAAAATATAGATATGGACAAAGACCGTACACAATCTTTTAAGGTCTTATGATCTTTCACACTTGTATACGGTCTTACGATCTTTCACACTTGTATACGGTCTTTGATACGGAACAGTGACGATGCTGACACCTAGTTAGAAAAACTCCAACCTGTAGCCAATTACAGTATCCTACTCACTCATAAATAGTCTGTAGTGGGTCCTACATTAGCTTGCTTAAGTCATACACAGACGTAGGTAGGAAAGGACTGGACCCCTAAATAAACCATCAGTACGTGTCACGTCTGCTTACAAAGCACACGGACGTGAGATAACTTATATACACCATAATATCAAACCGAAATACGTGAGACCGACATTTCACTTATAAACGCATGAATAATAACACCTCATTCAAAGCAAGTGCACCCTCAGATGCAGTATCCACAGCAACTACTTAGCACAATAGATACAACAGTGTTACACGAATACCTAATTTAGATGTCATATACATAGTTCATAACGTATTCTAAGCATACACTTTACTACATTACAATTGGACGGAATAGTCATGAATATCACATAGTTTAACAAATTGCTACACACAGTCACTAATGACACAATATATTACACTTTGTATCACTGGGCAACATGTCACGTGTGTATGTGTATGTGTATGTGTATGCACGTAATGTGTGTATGTGACTATGTTCACAAGCATCTATATGTAATATGTGCGTGCCCAATGCCTGTGAGCATAAATAACTTGAGCTTCCACTAAGAAATGCAGCTATCTAATATAAAAAGCGTTTCCTTAACCATGCATCTGTCAGCAAGATCATACTATACTGCATTTTTACTCATATGTCATGATCTTATCCGACTTCTGTAGAAAAGTGTCACTGTTTTCAGCTGCTAGCACGTGGGTACGTATGTTCGGTTACTGCCTAAGGCATTGAGGATGAATATCAAGGGAAATTCACTATTTGCACTGTTTACAGTTCATTCACGTCGCATTATCTAGTAGGTAAGAACATTCCTCTTCCACTCGAGTAACTCATACGCTGCGGATTCTGCACAATTGCTCGAGCTACGTTCACCGTGGCGGTGTTATGGAAAAAAATACGCAGCGAGTTCTCTGATCGCTTTACACTGCATCCATCAGCTTCGTTTTGCCGGGTGTTTTGTTAAGCTTGTACAATTACAGTGCGTGTCAGTAACCCTGTGAGAATGGAATACGTAATGACAAACTTAACAGTAGAGGCAGATCAGACCGCAATGGTACTCGCTGAGAATGAAACATAACCACAAACGCGACAGCACTGTAGTAGAAGCAGATCGGATGGTCATGCTACTACATGAGAATGAAACATAACCACAAACGCGACAGCACTGTAGTAGAAGCAGATCGGATGGTCATGCTACTACAT